GGAAATTCAGTATAAGTTTCCTGAAAATTCAAAGAAGGCATGTAATCAAGAATTTATATATATCGTTTCGCCGTCACTTATATATTAAAATGAATTTCCTGACCCAACCCAACCCAACTCAGCCCAATCCAACTCAACTCCTGCGATTTAGGTGTAGCCAATTTTGAATTTCCTGAAAATCGGAATTTACCATGTCCTCGAACAGTTATAATATTATTCGTTGGATTATCTTAATGTATGCTGCATTGCACAACATTTAATATTTATGTTGTGAAACAATATTATAAAATACATGCTAACAGATTTGATAATCAAAAGTGCCACTTATGAATGGTAAACAAATGAAAAACATTAATTGGAAACAAATCAAACAGTCAATATTTAAATATGAAACTATGGTAATGCACCTGAAATTCGAAATATTCTGCAGATTGTGAAAAAATCAAGAATATTTTTTCTAAAATTTGATAATTTTATCCTTATGACTAAAAAAGAAAGATTGAGTATTTAATCATCGAAACTACAGGGTGCGTAAAAATGTTTTTTCCAGGGGGATAACGCTGTGGCTTAAACTAATATTAACTATAAATTTTATATCAAATTAAAGCACGTTAAAAATTGGATTCACCAATACTAAATAGTAAGAGTTATGACAACTTTTCAATGTCGAATTCATGAAATTCCTACAATTTTATGCCATATTAGCAGAGAAAAATTCTTTTCATGGAGTATTTCAAATTACTACCCATTCCAAAATGCAAGGCTGTCGGTTGCTTTTTGAATAACTTTTGATAGGAACCAGACAGAAAGCTGCGGTTTTCACTATTCGAAAGAGAAAACTATGATGCATAGATACGTGTTGACATATGATTGGTTAGCAATGGACCAATCAGATTCATTCTTAGTAAACATTTTAAAAACAATGTATTGGATTTATTTCTCAGTTGATCTTGATTGTTAATATAACCATTCTATAGGAAAAAATGTTCTTTTTCAATCTATGCTAGACAGACATTCGTAGCTTGTTGCATTTAAGAGTTATTTGACCTTTTCTGAGATGCGCAATTTCCGTCAGTTGACCTGGGATCACTCGGAAAAGCATTTATACAGGGGTAATTCACCATGCTGAGTTCAATGGTGATATTAGTTTTTAAGTTCCAACTGATTTGACACTGTTATCTCAATATTTCTGAAATGTCACAATCTGCCTCTATGCAATGCAAGCAATCGATATTTCAGAAATATTGAGATAAAAGTGTTAGATCAGTTGGAACCTAAAAACCAATATTACCATTGGGCTCATCATGGTGAATTACCCCTGTATAGCTGCTTTTCCGAGTGATTCCAGGTCAACTGACTAAAATTGCGCATCTCAGAAAAAGTCAAATAACTCTTAAATGAAACAAGCTACGAATGTCGGTGTAGCATAGATTGAAAAAGAACATTTTTTCCTATAGAATGGTTATATTAACAATCAGGATCAACTGAGAAATAAATCCAATATATCATCTTTAAAATGTCGACTAAGAATGAATCTGATTAGTTCATTGCTAACCAATCATATTTCAGCACCTATCTATGCAGCAGAGTTTTCTCTTTCGAATAGTGAAAACCGCAGATCTCTATCTTGTTCCTATCAAAAGTTATTCAAAAAGCAATCGATGGTCTTGTACTTTGGAACGGAGAGTACATTTCATTTAAAATGATGAATATCAAAAAGTGACATTTATTTATCAAGATTTAATGAATATAATCAATAATCAATATGATAATCATCAGCGTTTTTACAGCACGAAGATGAGACGGATACGAACATAAAACAATTTCAAACAAGTCAATGTTTATTTTCAAGTTTGTCAAAATATATGAAACATGCCCTCTTTTTTTTAGAGTTTCCTTATAAAAAATGATTGTGTTCTGTTTCTGATAGACATTTTCTTCAGCTTCATTTTTTATTATTGTTCCATTATTTCCAGATCAGGTGTCCAGTAATTTGTGATAATCATTATTTTATATGAGCTCTCCTTTGAACTACTTCATAAAAGGAATTTTTCTCTGATATGGCGTGAAATTTTAAGAACTTCATGAATTCGACGTTAAAAAGTTGCTATGTCCTCATTAATGAATATAGGTGAATCCTACGTACGACACGCCTTAATTTGATATAAAATTTGTTGCTGATATTTATTAGCGTCATAGCGTTACTGTCCTGGAAAAATATTTTTACGCCCCCCTGTACAATTTATTCATAAGTCTGAACCTAATCAACAATCAAATTTTCTTTCAAGAAACTATTCATTTATATTATGAAATAGATAGATATGTTCTGCAAATGACTAAATATTATTCATTTTCTGAACAATGTATTCGACATTATTAAAACGCTATGAGGAATAATTAAACTATCTTAAAAATCATTAGCTCTTGGACGATGCAAACATTTTCTTCTAATGAATCATCTTTTGTCATTGAAAACTTCAAAAATATAACAGAACACCAAAATAAACATTTCTTATTCTATAGCTATAATACAATGAATCATCGAGTCGACTACAAGTTGTCGTTGATTTTCTAAGCTCGATGAAACTCAAAATGATTGGATCAAACTTTCTCAAAAGATCAATCTATTTTTTCTCATTGTAATAAAAAACGAATCGATTTCCGACATTAAGCAGTTTTTGAAATATCTTTAAAACCAATATCATCTACAAACAAAATTTTATTCATATTTTCAGAACGATTTTTCATTAGAAACTACACCGAAAATATTCGAAATCAGAAAAATTAAATTGATTTTTTGTGAAAATTTCATTCAATCATTTTGACTTTCTTTCAATTAACAAGAAAATGTTGACAATTGTAATTTTTTGCCACACTTTATATCGTCAGACGATACACTATTCTGTTACTTGAGAATATACAAGCAAACAAACGAATGCTATGCTATAACATTGACATTTGAATTGCCTATAGATGACGCTTTCTATTCTAAAATAATTTTTCTTGAAATTTTGAAAATAAATTAATTTTTATTTTTTATTTAAACGATATAAATAATTAATTTTTTTTCAATCTTTTCAATACTTTCTACCAATAATATTTCTTGATAATGACTCAAAAAAAAAAGAACCATTGATTTTTTAATGAGTCATATTATTATTTTTTTTTGTATTTGCCTTTCTTCTCTCATTCATCTATAACTTTTCTTGTGCTTGCTTTGCCCACTCGCGCAATTTTTTTTCTCTTTCTTCCACCATTAAAACTGCTGCTTCACATAATATACTTTTTTTTCTGCTTTGCTCTATTATTCGTTTGATCAAAAAGGAGGTTTGCGTATCAAGGAAAAATATATATCATACACTTTCCTTTGTATCTATATCTTTACCTATGTAAGTGAGCATGGTTTTTTATTATTATTTAAATTGAACTTTCTGTCATTTTACTATTAAATAGAACTATGGATGATCATACAACAAAAAACGAACAAGATGTTCATCAAGTTGAACCAAATCTATCATTTGTTGCACAAAATGAAACTGTTAGTACAACGACCAATATGTCACCACCACCGTCTCGTGCTGTTCCGAGTTCATCTCGACCTAGTACTTTACAACTTACGGGACAACGTATGGCTGGTTCAATCTTATTAACACCGAATGATTATAATAAACTTATATTAAGTACACCAGAATTAGATGAAAAATTACGAAATTATACTATTGTTTCAAATACAACACCAACTGTTCAATTACAAACACCAGATTTAATTAATGCTATAACAAATCAATCATCAAGTAATATAACATTTGCTTCTGATGGACAACCTTCACCAGGTATGATTTAAATCAATATATATATATATATATATATAATGTCTTATTTCCTTTTTCTTTTGTGATTAATGTATATTAGGTGTTAAAATTCTTGAAGAATTACTTAATTCACATCAACAACAAACTCATACAGATAATGCACCCCGTCAATATATTGTTTTACAATCTGATGATCATCATTTATTTCAACAATTATCATCTGTTCGTGATGAACAACGTCTTACAACAAATAATGAACAACTTAATCAATTAGCTCAAGCTATTCAAAAAGCAATAACAGCATCAACACCAACAAGTGCTGAGATACAAAATCAAACACAAGTTCAAGAAACATTATTAACATATATTACAAATCATATGACACCACAACAACAACAAGGACAAGATATAATAACACGTAATCGTTCAATATCATCATCAATGGATACATCAATGAATGGTAACGAATCATCAAATTCAGCAATATCATCAACAACACCAAGCCCAATGACAACACATATACCACATAATACAATTATGTTAAATAAAGTTAAAGATGAACCACAACACGTACCAACATCAAGAACAAATAATACAAATTCATCAATTGAACGTATTAGTTTAGAACAAAATGAAGTATTAAAAAAAGAAAAAAAACGTGAACGAAATAGACAGGTTATTTTTTTTATCACATTAATATGAAAAGAAAAAAACAACTCTATAAATTTTTTTTTTCAGGCAGCACAAAAATGTCGTACACGAAAACTAACACGTATAGCTGAATTACAAAAACGTGTTACTGATTTACAAGACAAAAATAAAGATTTATCGAATACAGCCGATCGTCTTAAAACGGATATAACAAGATTAGAACGACAATTACAAGAACATCAATTACAAGGATGTACATTAATGGCAACTGGATCCGTTTTATCATAAATTTAATATTTGTCTATTTGAATTCTATAGACAATATATAGTCACAATATTTGTTTTTTTTTTCTTTTTTTTTTCTCTGTAACACACCTATTGTGTATTGGAAATTAAGAAACAAACACATTCGAACAGTTTTTTTCTCTGATATTGATTTAACGCGTTTGTTTTTCATTTCATGTAAATAAATGAATAGAATAAAGGAGAAAAAAAAAACATATAATATCAAAGAGAAAAATGTGCATTTTTGTAGATATGGCCAATATTGATGAACCAATTTATTTGGCATGTAGACGAGCACTTGTAGGTGTATTTTTAAATAGGTGTTTTTGTTTGTGTATTCTTATTTTTCATTTTATTTTATATTCAGGGACTTGATGGTTCAAGTGAAATTAGTGGTATTTTATCAAATGTTCAAGATATTGAAGCATTAACTGAACATGTTATTAATGTTGTACGAACAAAAATGCGTGAACAAAATGCAATTAGAGTAATACAAATAAAAAATAACGAATTAATATTTGTTTTCTTTCTTTTTGTTTTCAAATATATTTATTTTAGGATACAACAACATTTGTTCGTCCATTTGTAGAATTATTTATGGATTCAACAAATGCACCTCGTATGTATACGATTAATAAATTATTAAAAAAAATGGTCGAATTTCATTCATCTTTAGCAAAGTAATACAAAAATAATTTTTGAAATTAAAGACGATTTTTTTTTTGTTTTGTATGTTTTGTTATGTAGACCATTTGCTGAAGGTCTTTTACAACATCCACGAATGAATTTTACATTACCAGCATTAATATGGAATTCAGCAATGGATCTTCTTCAATTTCTTGTACGCTTTCCAGATTATAAAGTAAGATAGAATTTAATAAATTTTACAAGATAATTCAATAGAGAATTATAGATATCATATAAACATAGTTAAGATTTTATTATGATGGGAAAGTATGACGACAATATTACATACTATATCTCGTTGCTTATTTATATCTCTCTATAGAATTGATACTTACACAATATCTGTCTATGTAAAAGCTGGCTTTTATGAAACATAATCTACACAGAAGGGAGCAAGGGTGCACAACACTAAGAAAATAATTTTTTGTTTTGTGAAAAGATTTTTTTATTTCTACCCCTCTCTCCAGGTTTTTTTGTTTTTGGTCAAGACAATGCACAGGCATTCCTTGTATTCTTCTTGGCTACGCTCCTAGATCTAAAAGAAGCGGTAAAACATAGAGAGAAAAATTTTCATCTTTGCGCAAACCGTGACGTACGTATACATGGAAATGTCATAGACCGTGACAGACGTAATCGTCGAAACGTCACAGACGGTGGATGGGCGTTCGTGATGTACGATCAAAGACTGTATATCAATAACGTTTCATTACTATTATCTGATTGTATTTCTGAAGGATTAATTAAAAAGATGATGAAGAAATGTGTCCCAAAAGAGGTAGAAAAAAGAAATAACCTTCCTATGATTAGTCACAGCAGCTACATCGTGTTTCATATTTTAAACTCGTATGGATTGTGCTAATATCCTGTTTTTCTTAATGTAGTAAAAATGACAGTTTATTTTGGGATCTTTTTTTTTTTGAAAAAAAGTTTTTACAAAAGTATAATAAAATAAAACGCTGTGTTATTGATGAATTTTAATTCAAACTTGCTTAAAGATGTTAACACTATAAGAGTATCACGAATGGTACGAGAACACAAAAAAATTTTCAATATCTAAGACTGAAATGAACGTAGATTAAACGGATTATCAAACTTATCTGTTTGATTGAAAGAAACACAAAAAGCTCAAAACCAATAAACTACCTATGAAATTCCTAATAAAAAAAAAAAACATTGAAATATCTCTGTTATTGGAAAATTCGAAATGAATTTTTATTTTTTAATAATATAATCATGATTGATAATAGATTGTAATTAAATTATTATTTTTTCTGTTTTTTTTTTGTAAAGGGTATTCGTGATATTTTTAAACAATTATTAGAAAAAGTTCAAATGCTTATGTCACATACACCGCTTCAAGATATTGAAAAAGTATTTAAATTTTACACGGTAAAAAAAAAAAAGACAAAACGAAATAAAATTAAAACTTATATTCGAAATATTTTTATTTATATTTAGCTTGTTGCTCTTATTATGAATCCTGATAATAATCTTCAATTAAGTTATTTTATACAAAATGAAATAAAACAAACATTACCTTGGGGTAAACCAGAAAATCCATATCCACCTGTAAATATTCAATAATGAATTTAAAAAAAAAAATAAAAAATAAAATTTTTTTTTTGATTTTAGTGTTTCTCTAGTTTAATATTAAAATTTATTGATTCATTTCGTCCAACTGCTCAACTGGTATCTATAACTGGTTTGTTTAATATTTTTATGTTTAGAAGAACAAAAAAAAACTATATATTTCATTTGTTTTGAAGGTCGTGATATGCTTTATCCAATTGTTGGATATTCAAATTATGCTTCTATATTATGGCGTTTACATTATGTTAAATTAAAATTTCATCAAACAGCTCCATTACCATTCGATAGAGTAAATTTATTATATTTTATATTATATTTTTAAATTATTTTTTAGGCTCAAGTTCAACCACAAACAGAATTATTTTGTTATGTTATAAAACAACTTAATTCTCGTGACCTTGCATTTAGTTTAGTTGGTATTGCACGTAATGTAAGTAATAAAAACGAATTCGTTATTTTCTTTTCATGGCTTTTCTTCTTCAAGGTAAAACAACGAATTACTGCAATTGAAGAATCATTAGCCGATCTATTAATATGGAATATGTTTGAAACAAATAAAATTCAAGATTTTGAAGGTTATTTTAATAAATAAATAAAAAAAAAACCAAATTGTTTTTAAGTACTTTTTATTTTATGATTTTTTTTCACTAAATAGGTCAATTACATTTATGGACTGTAACAGCACATATTGTATTAGTTTATGTACAAAATGTTTGTATAACTTTAAGTGGTATTCTTAATACAATTAATCTAAAGGTTAACCGGGTTTTTTTTTAATGTTTATTTTTGAATGAAAAAAAAAAAATGTTTGTCTTTCTATTATTTAGGTTGCTTCTTTTCCCGGACCTGTCTATGGTATTGGTCGAGATTGGCTTATGTGGTTAATTGGACAAATGCTTTGTCATGTATTAAATAAAAATCATGTTAAAGTAAAATTTATTATTTGTTTTTGCAATATATAAATTTAAAATTAATGTTTTTTTTTTCTTTTAGTCTGCTTGGCCAGATTATCTTGTTTTACTTGATCTTATTCGAATACTTTATCCAGATAATCAAGCATTACCAGAACCAGATTATCGTGATTTTCAATCAGTTGTTTCAATAGCAGCTGCATCAAATTGGTATTTTTTAACAACACGTGTTATACCAGCTATAGCTGCATCAACACAACAAAATTCATTACCACAACATCAAACACCTAATGCACTTTATGTTCATGTTGAGTATGTGAAAAATAAAAATTTTCTATTATTATTTGTTTCTTTTTTAGAGCTTTAAAATCATTTGAAGATCGTAAATTATCATCAATTGATGATTATCGATTTTATATCTGTTGGAGTATGTTAATTAATTATTAAAATATATATTTATTTTCTAATGAATATAATCTATTTTTTTTAGATTTAGTTGGTAATGATCCAAAATTAAATTCTCCTTATATGGATACTTTATTTAAAGTTTATGTACTTAATACTTCACAATCAATTCCAGCAAGTCATATGAGTCATAATGTATATGGACCATCAGAAGGTATACCATATCGATCATTAGATGCAATCAGTGCACATGTTAAATGTCTTATTGCAAGACAATATTATAGTGATATAATATCAAAAAATTTATTTAATCCAGCACAATGGTCAATGGTATCACCCGGTGGTGTTGAATCATTTGCACGTTTATTAGCATATCCAGAAGTTGAACAAGATCGTTTAAAAGAATTATTAAATTTAACAGATACAATTATAAGTAAAAATTGGTTTGTAGGTGCACATTTATTAGCAGAATTACTTACATTTCGTCTTCATCGTATACCAACATCAATACGTGCACAATTATTACAACAATTTTCAGGTATATTAGCATCACCATCACATGCTGGTCATCCACAATTACATTGCGCGTAAGTTTTAAAAGCAAAAAAGAAATTTAGATCGTTTAATATAAATACATTAAGTTCGAATCTAACTTAGGATTTACACTTCATAGGCTAGGATAGACTCAAATACATTTCTTTCTCGTTCTATCAGCTTGATAGATTCAAGCATTGTATTACAATTCTGTTGTAAATATCTATATTTGTCGCCGACCAATAAGAATATTTTCTTCGTCCAATAGATTTAGAAAACGTTTTTGAGGAAATATTGAGTTTTGTATGAGTAAATATTGAATTATACATCGTCCAGGACTTCCTTCATTACACGTGACGAAGAACTAGACAGAAAATCTAAGCTCGAACTAGATTTTGACAAAATTTTCCGTTGTCTTCGGCGACTCAGACGACATATCTATTAAACATTTTCAATAGTGGACAAAATCACAATGTAATATCTTTTGTAAAACACGTTCTAAAAGAAGTGTTGAAGTAAAGGGATAAAAATTTGAACCCAATCGTCTTCTTCCACAGAACGTATATTAATAACAGCTCGTTATAGTAAATGAACTAATTCCTTATTGCGTTTCCGGAAGATTAAATAAAAGGATGGTGAAGGAATATGTCCCAAAAGAACCTTCCTGCGATTCGTTACAATAGCTACATTGTGTGAACATTTCCGTTTCGTCAAACGAATGTCTTTTTAATGCAATTTTTGAATCTTGTAAAAGTACCCTAGAATTAAAATATTTCGCCGCTTATGGCATCAGTTTACAAACTTGAAAACATGTTGTAAAATTTGATTAATTTGTTTGATTGTTTTTTTTTAGAATACAAAATCTTTTACTTAATCTTATACTTCAATTTAATTGTACTGATCTTTATAATCAAGTACCAAAATTAATTGATTCAAAAATGTTACAATCTGTATTTACTAAAGAATCGGAAGAAATTAATAAAGTTTTTATTTTATGTATTGCTCGATCATTTATTGTTACTGGTTTGTTGATAAAAATTATAATAAGCAATAAAAGGATTTTTCTTTTAAAGGATCAGAATCAATGCCTGTTCCATGGTGTACAGATTTTTTAACTCATATTATGCAAATAACACCACATGGATGGTCAGCATCAACATTAGAAACTATGCCAACATTTATGGCTGAATGGTATCGAGCTCATCCAATTAATGATATTTATAGAGATATACGAGCACGTGTTGATGATGATTATAAAAAATTAACAAGTAAAATTTATTTTTTTCTTCTTTGATTTTCATTATTATTTTTATATTATAGATTCAGCTTCATTAGCAAATGAACAAGAAATTGTAAAACATTTTAGTCAACCAACTAATACAACTTGTCTTTGGTAAGTTTGATATTTAATTAAAATATTCAAGTTTTCAATTCGAGTTGTTTTTTTTTTTGTGTTTTATGCTAATCAAAGAAAAAGTAGCACGACTTAAGTACTCCGATGTACGAGTCAAGTACAAATAAAGCATGTGTGAAGTATCAGAGAAGGACGAAAAATATTGTAGCTTATTTGATTTTGACCGTATTTCACGTGTACTTGACTCATAATTCGACATACTAAAATCGTGTTATTTTTCTCCTTGAAGCTCATTGTTTCGTATTCGTTAATCTAGTTTAAACTAAAGAAAAAAACATTTTAGTCGCTAGAATTTTTTGAAAATAGAGATCCTAATCATAATGCAAAGGAAATTTTTAATTTTGCAGATCAAGTAAATATCTAAAGATTTCTTTTCAAATGGGTCAAATCATTTTAAAATATCTTATAGAAAGAATTAATCCGTCTATTTTTCTTCAATACATTCCTGCTAAAGATTCTTAATAGTATGAAAACTATTCAGTATTGATGCTATGATCTGTCGTAAATAGAGGTGTGAGAGACTATAAGAGAAAATATTTTTCCAATCGGAACTAAAGATTATGCTTAAATATTCTATGGTTTTCAGCAAATTATTGTATAAATCATATTAATCAGAATATTCTTTAAGAAACATGACCCAAAGAAAAACGAGTATTAAAGAATTTTTTTGAATCAGATACGAATACATTCTGGATAGTTTTCTTTAGATCGGATTGGGATAAAAAAAAAACATTGTCCTGCACATCTCTAGTCTTGAAACAGATTGCAATATTTATCTATTATTTTAATAAAGAGAAAAAAAATTAAAATTATAATTTTTCGAAATATATAACGGAAGGAATTCTAACCAAAGCTCGCCTGGTACATCTCTACTCTTTGTATTGGAACTTCAGAAACAATTTCAAATATAATATAAATCTTCTTATGTTTTAGTGTATTTCTCAAGTTGACTATTGAAGATCGTCCATTAAGATCATATATTAATACATTTTATGAGTAATTAGATGTTTTTTTTCTGAATATAAATATAATATTACTTTTTTATTTTTAAATGATTAGAATATTTAAAAATCTTCTTACACGTTCAATGAATGGTCATTATCGTACATTAGCTGAATATATATTACGTGAAATAACATTACAACAAAATCATAGTCAAACATTTATGCAAAAAGTAAAATGAAAATATTGTTTTTTTTTTCTATTCATTCTTAATCATCTTTATTTAAATTCAGTATGCTGATGCAGTTGTTCTAATGGCAACTCGTTATAATATAATTCAACTTGATCGATTATTACTTATTCTAGTAAGTTATTTATTTGAATAAAAAGATTTTTAAGAATATATATGTATGATTTGTTTTTTCTATTATTAGTTTCTTCGACCATTAGAAGAATCGAAAACACCATATGTCCATATTCTTTTCTATTTTATGATTAATTCTAATACATTATCTGAAATAATTAAAGATTTTGGTAATATTGCAAGAAGTGTATGTAAAAGTTTCGGTTTTAAATGATTAATATATATGTGTATTTTTATTTATAGATTCCTTGTGATATATGGAGTATGAAAAATTTTCATGAAAAATTTCATTGTGAATATGTTAAGGTATTTTTCAAATCTAATATATTATACAAAACGTTTTCATTGATAATTGTTTTTGAGAGTTAAGTTATAAAACAAAAGTTTATTTTTATTAATATCGTCGAAATAGACTATATTGATTTTAGTGTATCGCATAAATAAAATAATATGAGAATAAAAAATAAGTAATTTATAATTAATAGTCATGATGACTGAAGCATTGAAAATTTGTTTTTTTTTGTGATAAAATTTTCACTGGAAATCATTATTTTATAAAGTTTTGATTTTGTCGGATAGACTCGCAAATATTTTTGTAAGATTTTCTCTAATGAACACCAGAATCCAAATCAGATCACAATGAGTTAACTGATGCGGAGTTTTACATAAGAAAAAACAGCAATTCTCGTATTTTCTTCGTTTGAATTTTGAGAGTGCTCGTATAGATTCGTCAAAATAGATACTAAATCTTAGTGAGAACTTACTTTAATTGGTCAAAAACTATCTTCAACTTCGGATCGGGTCTTGAAAGAATTAACCAATAGCACGCATTGATGAGCATCTCAAAAACTGCCAACTATTTTCTATTCAAAAACGTTTTTTATCATTCATCTTAGTAATACACTCATTCATTCTCCGTGTATTATGTTGTTTATGACGACATGCTGAAAACTACTGTTGGAAAAGAATATTTTTTTAAAATCAAAATTAATGTCCTTAGTTGAATTTTGTTAAGTCATAAAATTATTTCAAGTAAAGAGACATTATCTTTAAATGTTGATCGTTGTTTTGTTCTTCTCATAAAAATTTTCATGTATAACTGAGAATGATTGAAATCTAATGCATATTGAAAAACATTAAATCTTAATATGAGTTCAAGGATTTAATAATGAATAGGATCATGAACGTAAACAAAAATCTTCGGATTTCTATCTAACTTATGACACGAAAGTCTTGGCACAATAATACTCACTCCACTTAAAAACAATTGGTTAGAATCAGATTTTTTCACTCTTCCTGAATATTTATTCAGAATTTCCTTCTCTGGTAAGATTGAACAACTATCATCAGAGATTGTTTCAAAAGGTTCGAAATAGTGTTTATTGTAAAATCTTATTTTGTACAGAATTCAGTAATGTTGATTTGAAGGTGTTTCAAGATACAAACTAAGAACTGCACTAAAAACCAATATTTTGCTTTGTACAGACACAATTTTGGACTTTTTTAAAATATTGACTAACAGTTATTCAATTTTACTTCAGAAGGAAAATCCGAACATATATTCAGAGAAATAGCGAAAAGTTTTGTTTCTAGCTCTAACCAGTTGTTGTTTAATGATCAAAAAAAATGAGCGAATATTTTATGCCAAGACTTTTGCGTCATAGGTTAGCAATTAGTACTTGCTGGAGTTCGAGTTCGAAAATTTTGGGCCCAATGAGCTCGATTAATAACTCGATTTTAGTCAAAAACTTATGGTTTTGTAAGAAGAAAACATTGATTTTTACAGATAGCTCTTTTTCGATTGAAAGATCTTCGAATTTTATTAGTCGTTATTTAAACATATTCTTATTATATTTATTTTTAGAAAAATAATGAACGCTTCTTTATGGAAGGTTTTATCAAAGATTATTTACAATCAGTAAGTTTTGAAGAATAAAAATTCTTTCTTTATTATTTTTTTATTTTTATTCTAGTCAGTCGATCGATATTTGCCAACTTATTACAGTAATATGTGTCTTCGTCTTCTACCAGTAAGTTATTTTCTTTGATTAATTCGTTTCGGTCGTAAATGTCGTGTATGTGGTAATGGAAATTGATAATATCCAGCTATATATGAATTTGTACCATCTATAAATGCTAATGTTTTAATTGTATAGATTAATGAACATTTTCCTAATTGAGTTTTCGTATTTTTATAAGCATTTATCAAATAAGGTTTTAATTGATGTTGATATTCATTAAGAAAAAAATTTGAAAAATATAATTTTTTATATGGATATGAATTTATTAATCGAAACATAAAAGAAAAAAAAATAAATCAAACTACAAACATAAAACTTATGCGCGTTTATTTTAAAAATTTAGATATTTGAATTAATAATTAATCGAATGTTTGAACATATGCCAAATGCTCGTATTGTTGATACAGTTTTACCAATAGCTCAAAATTTATTTCGTGCACATGGTTTGAATAAAAATGAAATTATTCTAAATATAAAAAAGAGAAAAAAATAAATCTTGTTTTTTTTTTGTCCTATTTATTCTAGCTGCACCAGTCACATTTTTATATCATACTTTATTTGTATATGAAAAAAAATTACGAGAAAAATCAAATTTTCGACAATCACTTATTATTGGAACAATTGGTTAGTGAAAAAAAAATAGATAAAAACTTTCTTTTTTTTTTTTTTTTTAATATAAATTTATTTATTTAAGGAAATATTTATCAAATGCGTAAAATGGAATGGTGTTTTTCAAATAATTTTACATCTTATGTAGAAAATTATCTTCGTCTTGATGGAGAAAAACGACAATTACCATCGCCGATATTTAATTCACGTTATGCTATCGATTTATTACATAAACTTGTTGATGATATCCTTTTTTTTCTTCTTGATTTTTTTTTCTTTTTGAAAATAATATTATTTAGGTTTAATTTATTTTTTCCTTAACTCCAGTGTACCTATTTATGAAAAAAATTCTTATGAATACAATATTGATTGGCGTTATAATGAATTTGCAAATCCATCATTACAATTGATACATTGTTTAGCTATTGAAATATTTTTTTATACGGGACAAGAAAATTTTAATCCATGGAAATTATTTGCTGAACCATTTATAACAGCGTAAGTTGATTAAAAAAAAAAATAATATTACTAGTCGAAAAAAAAAAGTTCCACTCATTGATAAAAATGTATATAAACTTTAATCCTTTTGTCTGATATTTTGACTAGAGATAGAACTTGATAAGTTCTAATTGCAAGAACTAATCCGAAATTGATCGATGTTAATGCAACAGATTTAGGATGAAAGCACTGATTTTTTTACTGGAAGTCCAAGAGAGGATTTTTCACTATTTTTATCCAGTAACATCCACTTTCTTATTAACAAATTAGGCTCTGCTTGCCTGTATTATATCACAGATAGGGTATTCGAATCCGCTGTACCCTGAGACGCGAAGAAGTTTCCCTTGTCTCAATACGGATCTCCTCTCTGTCGATGTCTGCAAGTTTGAAATCAACTCTCATGTCGACACTACCCAAAGCTTACTTCGCTAATCAAGCAAATTGAAAACATTTCATAAGAAATGTTTATTGATGATAGAAACAGCATTGAACTCTCAAATAAAGAATCACATATGACGAACAATACGGATTAAATATATTAAGACAGTAAAATAAGTATAGTTCTCTATATATGATCATGTTTGATCTGAGTAATTTATTTGATCCTTCTCTTTCCTAAACAGTATCTTTCATTATATAGAACTCATCTTCTTAGTAAAATCTGCGAACTCTATTGTATATCTATCAGAATAAATGGTTGAGATCGAAGAGTAGTCTTTATCATGTATAAAATACAATCCAGGTGTGAAGAAAAAAAAAACAATATTATATAAAAAAAAGTTATTTCCATATGTTTATTATTATTTTAGAGATGCTTTAATTCCTCGAGTACATTTTTTAAAATATCTTAATGCTATGGGCCTTCTCTTCTCGGCATTGCCTGTATGTATCGAAAAATAAATTATCTTTGATATTAAAATAAAACTTGATTTTTCTAGGACTTTTATTGGTCTCAATTATTCGAACGAATGTATCAAATATTTGAACATCCACTTTTATTACGTTGTTCACCAACTGATATAATGGATTTACTTAATTTTCGTGAACGTTTTTGTACACATACAGAAAATATGGTCTGCTGTTTTGTAGCTGTTGTTCATTCTATATGGCTTCATGGTAGTATAAGTCATTTACAACCATTTCTTCAGTAAGTTTTTTTTTTTAATTTTGAAAAACAAAAAATTTCATTATTAAATTTTTCTTTTTGTATTCTAAAATCTTAGTTTGGTTCAAACACAACTTTTACAAACAATAAAAACTGAAAATCAATTATTATTAGCATTTCAATTAATTGGACCTTTTCTTCAACGTATACAAACTGAATCAACAAAATTATTACTTGAAGTAAGAACTAGAGCCTGCTATTTTATATTCGGTGACTAGCATTTCTTCCACATTTCTTAGACGACTAGAGTCCGTCAGATTGGGGACTAAGCCGACAGATTTTAGCAAGGATAAAAACAAAATATCAAATTATTTGAAAAAATATTTATGAATTGTTTTTTTAAAATTTTTTAGTTTGTTATTGTTCCTTATGATCTTATTGCACGTGTTGATAATCATCAACAATCATTTATAAATGTTGATACAATAGCAAATTTTCTTTATCATATTAAATATATTGTTGTTGGTGATGCAATACGTGATCGTATTGAAACAGTTGTTAATAATCTTCATTGTGAAAAACTTCGTTCACGTCTTCATTTTCTTTGTGCCAAAACAGACGTTTCATCATCTATACATTCTCAAGGATCTGTAACAGCTGCAACACCATCATCAGTAACAACAACTGATCCTCCAAATTCAAATGTACCTAGTCATGGACAAATAAAACCAGGAACATCTACAATGCAAATGCAATATACAACAACAGCAATGCAAGCACAATCATATGGTGTACCACCACAAAATATTCAACAAAATTTTCAATTAACAACTAATATGACTAATACTATGGGATCGGATGGAATTCAACAACAACGATAGACAAAGTTTTTTTTTTTGTAATAAGAAAAATCAAAATTATTTTTTTGATTCCTACATGTTGTATATGAATTGTTTCAAAACATAATTATTTTTCTTTATATATATAATCTGGATTTTTTTTTGTGTTGTTAGAAACAAAAACTACATGTATCATACAATGATATTTAAAAATCATCGAAATTTTCATTATTTAATAAAGAATATGTATATATGTATACATAGGTATCGAAGAAATTTAAATTTCTTAATTAAGAATTAATTGAAGATCTTATACAAAACGAATTTCATTTTATTATTTAAATAAATAATGCATGTAATAAATTCGAATATAAACTACTTTAAAAATTTCTAATGAAATCTTGAACATTAATATAAAATTCAAATACTTCGATGTAAAGAATTAACATTATCTCTTCTCAACCGAACTAAAATGACCTTCATATTCAATTCTATCAAGGTTTCGAACTATAAATAAATAAAAAATTTTCTTCTCTGCTTGATATGTATATATAGTGAAATATGCCATTATATATAGTGAAATATGCTATTAATAGTAAACTAATCATCAGATTACAATCCATAATAAGCTAAGATAATATCATGGTTGTAATTCTCAGATGTCTATCATTATCGATAAAAGCCTTAGAAGTGTTGTTTTTACGTTGTATTACTATATAATCATTATCTTATTTTATTAGCTACCAAAAAAAAAATATTCATCATGTACTATTTGTTTTATAGAAGCGAATAAATAATGATATTAAAATACATGTTGTTAATATGATGCAAGGCTCAAGAATATTTGCAATATTTCTATCAAAAAAATTTAATAACAAATAATCCAATATTTTTTTCTTAACCTAATTTGCCATATATTCATAATTATAAATAGACATAATTTGCCTTAAGCTAATGAGAAATTGTTATTTTCCAGCTCCGAATATCCAATTTTATTTTCTCTTTTTTTTTTCGTTTATTTTTTTTTTAATAATTAATCAATTTTTCTTTTTTTAAGCTTAACCCTTTCAGTTCCAAATTATTTCTACTGAATCCAATTCAAGTAGACTGTTAGATTAGCTTGTTTTGGACATAAACAAAAGACAAATAGCTCGTGTATACTCACATATGTTGTACTTAGTATAAGTTTTATTGAATTTTATTTTATTTGAATACAAATATTAATTGCTAAAGTTTACTAATTCCAAAACATATACAAGTTTTTCATGAAATAACAAAAACTGTATTTTATACTACTAAACATCAGAGAAGCTCTCGTACTGTAATATTTATATCTTTCTTTAGACTCAGCAATAGGCATATGTGCTAACAATTGAGCTGATGAAGATTTGTTGAGTTTGTTTTTGCTTTCTAACAGAAAAGTGAATAAATCCACATCTTCTTTTCCGTAAACTTTGGTCATCAATCAGAACTTTCTCAATTGACGACTATAGATCTCCTTTACAGATGGTTGGGAAAGATTCTAAAGCATTCTTTATTGTTTCATTTCAAGAGATTAGGTATTCATTTTTATTTAATTATAAAACATTTGTAACTTTTTTGCTACTATGGGATTGAAAGGATTAATCTTAAATTCAAACACAACGAAAAATAATAACACTTTTTAAGGAGATCGAATATCTTCAATCAAAATAAGAAGTATATGGCTCTTGAGAATACACACATGGTGTATATCACAGGAAATAACTAATAACTGATCAATTCTTGTCTGTTATGATGTATCTGGCAAATAACGAATGTCAAGAGTTAATATTATTATGTCCTATACAGATGTATATCTTGAATATCAATATTTGACATTTTAGAGTTTATGGATATTTTTATTATAGAACGGAGACAAAAAAAAATGCACCAACTAAATACGTATAAGAATGAATATGATAAAAAGAAATTTTCTTATCCAACAATATATCTTTTATTTCTTTCTTTTTATTGTTATTGTTATTAAAAAAAAAAAACTACTCCTTTTAGTTGACATTAAACAAGCTAAATATATTACAATAAGGCATCTAGAAAATATGTAATGAGAATGACTCTGATGACTATTTCCGCATGATACAATCTATTCATATCTTAATGTAGTTTTGGTCTCTTTTCCGTCGAGAATTGTTAGTCGAGCTCTCATTCCTCGGAGAAAAACGAGCGTAAATTAATTATATACCTTAGATCGACTAAGTTCGTAACTAGAGCTAAAAGCATCAAGTCGGAAATGAAAGAGGGAGAAAAATATAGACAAGACGTACAAACATAAAACGATAGATGAAACTTAATACATCAAGATGTTTATATTTGTATGTCTAAGTGATAACAAGAAGACATCATTTTTTTTTCTCTCATTTTCTTTTTTCTCAGTTTCTTTTTCTTTCTCTCTCTCCTTATTAATTCACTCTTATACATCAGATCAAAAAGTCAAACCGTGATCTGAATTGCAAAATATGACACGTTACAAACAACGTAAATAATTAACACGGCAATCAATCTACTTAATAAATACAAGAAAAATTTTCTCGATACTCTCATATACAAAAGATTAATTGATTAATTTATCTATGAATAACGGTAATATGAATAGTGTTCCATTACCATCAATTGCATCTGGTGAACACGATTGTCTTATGACTGAAGTACAAATTCGATCAACTTCAACATCATCAAAAAAACATAAACATCCAAAAAATTGGCTTAAAGCTCATTTATGTCAAAATAAATTCACATTTGGATTATGTCTTTCACTTTTACTTGCTATTGCCATTGTTATTTCTTTACTGTTTTTATATGTTTTACATAGACGCGTACGATCAGAACGTATGTAAAGATAAAACATTTTCAATTATGCCATATAAATATTTCTTTTAAGGAGAATTATGTCTCACACCTGAATGTATCTCATTAGCAGCTGATACATATAATGCAATGGATATTACAGTTGATCCATGTGAAGTATGTATAATTTTTCAAAAAAAAAAGAAATTTGTTTATATTATTGTAAATCTAGGATTTTTATCAATTTGCTTGTGGTAATTGGGATAAAACTCATCCAATACCTGAAGGTCGTAATGTTCGTTCTTCATTTGAATCATTTGTCAATGATGTTGTTGATCTTTATCGCGGTATTTTTAATAGAATTAATTCTGATTGTTTTATTATTTTTTTTTTTTGTTTATTCTTATAGAATTACTTCGTAAACCTATTCTTGATACTGAACCAGATGCTGTAAAAAAGCTTAAAACATTTTATCAAGCATGTGTTAGTCCAGGTAAATATTTCTTTCATTGAAAAATTACACTTATTATTTATTTTAAAGAACGAGATTCACCAGCAATTGAAAATACAACATATCATTTACTTATGCAACATTTAGAACGTTTTGGTGGATTTCCTCCTTTACATGGTGAACGATGGCAATCAAAATTATCTCTTGAACGATTACTTGCACTACTTCATTTAGAATTTAATACTGAACCTTTATTTGAACTTAAAGTAGCAGCTGATGATATGAATAATACTCAACATATTATTTTGGTAATTAGAAAAATCTAAAGAACTTTTCAAAATAATTATAAAAAAATCTTTTTTTTTTTACTTTTCTTTTTAAGCTTAATCATCCATCATTATTTTTACAAGCATCAGCAGCATATGAATCACAAGAAGAAATCGATGCTTATTTAAAATTTATGGTTAGTGTAGCAACTAGTTTGGGTGTTGAACGTACACAAGCACGAAATGAAATGGAACGAATACTCAATTTGGAGATAGCACTCGCCAACGTAGGTGAGAGTTTTTATTATCTGTTCAACGCTTTCTTATGAGATTCAAAATTGTCTTTCACTAAAAAAACAAAAAAATATACATTTACTTTGTTTAATCCTTTCCGAACGGGATTCTTTTTGTGCAAATCCAAATATTGAAACATGAAATTAGTTAAGATGAATTTATTTTCATTTCTAATTAGTGCTATTGATTTTTCCAAGGTTAGTATGGTGCATATATATGTTGCTCGTGCCAGACCATAGAGCAATGGCAGGAAGAAGAATGCTCCTGCATTTAAGCTGCCTAGCTGAAGATTCAATAGTTCGATATCTTTTTTACAAGTGGGACTAGTGTAGTTCTGAAGTGAAGGTTGGTCTGACACAGAGTGCTTGAGCTCCCTATACATATTAACTAATCATATACTGGCTAGAAGAGTCAATGTATGTCACAATGTAGGCAGCATGCTATCGGACGGATGATACGAGACAAACAAGCATTAGTAACTTGGCCAGGATCATTCCATGTCTAGTGTTATTGAGATTTACACACGGTATCTTATGAATATGTGTCAAATAATGTAACCGCTCAGCCATGATGGCTTAAGTAATGCCAATTAGATCAATGATAAGCAGTAAGCATCAATAGATCTGACTGTCCCAGGATGGGGAAATGTCTATATGCGTCTCACGTTCCAAAAGAGTTATTAGTTAAATCTAGTATATATAAATTTACGAACTAAAATATATATCGAAGAAATAGAAAAACATTGAAAAATGTATTGATTCATAAACATAGATACTAATAATTTAATATTCATTCATTCATTAATTGATTGAAACATTTTTATAAAGACTCATTGAAAATTTTCTCAAGTTATTTTCAATTTTAGATTCGTGATGATCAACCATCAAATACTGTAATGGATTTTTATAAAAAAATTAGTGTTGGAGAATTACAAAATATTGTACCATCAATCAATTGGACATTATATTTTCATATTGTTTTCAACGAATATATTCTATTAGATGAACCAATTGTTGTACTTTATGCTGATAAATATATAGGAGCGCTTGAGTCACTTATTCGTCAATTTGATACACGGTAACGAAATGAATATGTTCTAGTTTTCTTTTCTATATAAAAAATTTTTTTTTTCTTTTTTTGTTATACGAATAGTGCTCTCACAAGTTATTGTTTGTGGCGTGTTATTGCTAGTCTTGTACCTGATTTGA